GATACTGCCAAGGGAGACCTACGGAAGGACTGGGCTCTGTTCACCCACCCCCTCCCTGTGAGAAGAGGCTTGCAGCTAGGAGGGCCACAGGTGGCAGGTCTGTCTGCCTTTGTCCACAGCTCCCCGAGTCAATCATTGGCCCTGGACAGAACAGTTTCTCCCAGAATTCTCAGAAGAGGCAGGAAGACCTGCTGAGAGGAAGCCCTAAAGGTTGGTTCTAGTCATCAAAGCCTGCACGGTGCTCTTTAAAGAGACTTTGAAGCTGAGAAGGCGGCAGCGGAACAATCACCCTATCTATGGAAGCTCTCTGTCTCTGGTCCCGATTAGGCGACATGTTTTCCAATATGTCACTTTCTCATTCTAATCCTAGTTTTTCTACATCTCAGAGAGAAGCAGGAGCAGGCTAGGTTGGCTCCAGCAGGAGTGGACTCTGCAAGGCATTGGATGCTATCAATACTCAAGCCATTGCTGAGCCCTCTCATGTGGATGTCCCTGTCAAGGGCTGTGTGTCCCTGATGGATAAGGCGAGGCACAAGAAAAATACTACTTTTTTTGTGTCTACAATAACAATTCAGAAAAAAGGAAAAGTTTTTCATGAACTGAACTGGGAGTTTCAAGTTTTTTTTCTTTTCCAAATTTTTAAATTTTATTTTATGTATCTGACTGTTTCATCTACATGTATGTCTGTGTACCATGTGCATGCCTGGTGCCCATGGTGGTCAGAAGAGGTGTCACATCACTTGGAACTGGAGTTACCGGATGGTTGTGAGCTACCAAGTGGGTGCTGAGAACTGAACCCAGGTCCTCTGCAAGAACAAAGCGTCCTTAAGCACTGAGCCTCCTGAGTCCTACCTTGATGTTTCTTAGTGGGCCTCTTTTTTTTTTTTTTCAAACTAAAGCCATGCCACTGTGGCTGTCCCCCCCCCACCCACCCCCCCCCCACCCTCACCACCACACCCACACACAAACACAACACACACACACACACACATGTGCACACATGCTAATGACTCTACCTTGGGGTCAGTGGGCCTGATCCAGAGCTTTCTGTCACAGCTGGCTCAGCATAGAACGAAGTATTCTAAAAGTTATTACCTCATGGCCAAAGGCAGGCTCCAGTCTGAATCCCCTGCTGGAGACACATGTGCTAGCTGAGCCTCTCTGTAAAATTAGGGTTCACCTTAGGTGGACAAGGAGTTCCATTCCTGGAAAACTCAAGTTTGCACAAATTTTACTTTATTTTTATCGTCATCATCATCGAGACAGAGTCTCACTATGTAGTTTTGGCTGACCTGGAACTCACTCTGTAGACCAGGTTGGCCTCAAACTCAGAGGTCCACCTAGCTCTGCCTCCTGACATGCTGGGATTAAAGGCGTGTGCTAACAGCATGGCATTTTGCAGAAATTTTAAATATGTCAACATCATGCCTTTGGTCAGCAGGCATCTCTCCTTGGGCCACAATTCTGCTGTTGCTCTTTTATCCACTCTTTAGAAAACAATTGCTTTCCACCAGACACACGTTTTGCCACCACTCAATGACATTTCAGAGCTCTAAGCCTTCAGCTGGGTTCCCATTCCCTCCAAGTTCCTCCAGCTCCCAAAGCTGCTCCCCGTGCGCCTTTTTCTTATTGTTTTTTTGAAACAGGGTTTCTCTGTGTAACAGTCCTGGCTGTCCTGGAACTCACTTTGTAGGACCAGGCTGGCCTTGAACTCACAGAGATCCACCTCCCTCTGCCTCCAGAGTGCTGGGATCAAAGGTGTATGCTACCACTAACAGCTTGTGCTTTTTCTTTTCCCCTGAATGACACCCCCAACCCTGCCTATGTTTTTCCTTAATGCCAAGAAACAAGCGAAACAAGCACATCCACACTCCAGAGATGCCCTCGGGCACAGGGCATGCCGGCTGCTTTCCCCACCACCCCAGGCTTTTCACATATGGGTCCTGTTCAATCAGGAAGCCCTGCATGATCGCAGCTCAGATGAGCCTCTGACTCTAAGGACAACTGTCACCAGCCAGGGTCCTTCTGTCACCGGCAAAGGAAACTTTGGGCAGTCATCCTCTCCTTCCTGCCACCTCCTTTGGGACCCCTGCTCTTTGTCACAGTTATCTTCAATTATCCGCCAGACTCCAGAGAAAAATGTATGAATAGGCTTGAGCCTGGCTGGCAGCCTACAGCCACACCTAGACCTTCCACAGCCCCAGAGTGGCTAGCGAAAGGGGGCTCCTTCAAGTCATGAGACTCATGCATTCCAAGACTCAATAGTACAGCAGACACACAAGTGCTTTTTGGTTTTGATTTTATTTTCTTCGGTTTTATGAGACAGGGTCTCACTACATAGCCCTGGTTGGGCAGGAACTCACTGTGTAGAGCAGGCTGGCCTCGAACTAACAGAGATCTGCCTACCTCTACCTCCCAATCACTGGGATTAAAGGATGGCCTCGGCCATGGAGGGTTTTGATGGGCAGTTTCCTCTTCTCCATCCATTCCCAGTCACTGCCACTCCCTCCTGTTCTCTGAGCCACCTGCTTCATGGGGGATTTTATTCAGGAGACCTGAACTTTCTAAGAAGTTTAAGTAGAAGGGGATTTTGCAGTATAAACTATGGCTTATTCTGTCATTGTTGGAGAAGGACCACGAATGGGCTGGGTCCAGCTTCGGTGGTCACCTTGGTGAGGCAGAGTGGTTCTGCTGCTGCCATTACCTTGGGTATCATGTAGCTCTGTCCTGAGCCAGGGATGTAAAAAAGGAGAGCTCCAGAGTAAACCAAAAACCTTGCATCATTTGCCCTCAGATCTCTAGCTTTCCCCTCCTGGTTCAGGTACATTCTCCACAGTGGTGCACACTTGTGGCCCCAGAGTTCTGAGTAAGAGCCATCAAGCCCGGAAGTTCCAGGACAGAAAACTTTTAAGACACTTTTTAAGTAGGTCGGTAGAGTCAGGTCAGCTGGCTCCACTGGCCATAGCACCGGGCCCCCCTGCTGTCCCCAGGCCTCCTTATCTAGGTCACAGCTTGCTATAAGGGGGCCACCACACCACCTGTGTCATGATGAGCAAGAAGCACCCTTCTGCTATCTATTCTCAGCCATGCTTCCAGCATCCTTGGATCTATAGTCCATGAAGGGTTGTCTGAGGGTGCGGGGGTGGGAGAGGTATCCTCAGCTGTCTGGTGTCACCACCTGCTGTGGATTCTTCAGGCCTGTTATTGCCTGCCGAACTTGGTCTAGGTGGCAGATGGTC